ACATCACTTACATCGAGGCACGCATCTCCTCGCCTGGCCTCTCATGACTGTGGGATTCTGCAACAGTCATAAGTGTGAAAAATGGTCATAAGTCACTTTTTTCAGTGCCATTGTAACTTTGAATGGTCACTCCACACAACCAAAGTACCAGCAAAGGAGGGGAAACAAACTCCAGAGATGTTCCTGAGACAGGAAGTCTAGTCCTGCCAAGAATGTAATAAGGGTTAATGGAGAGGCAGTTTCTGTAAGCAACACCAGAATGTTTCCTTTCTGCCTTCCTTACAGGATTAGGCCAGTAATTTCCTCTAACAACCAGTTCTCCAAACTGCTTAGAATGTTAACAGCCGGTTCTAGTGAATAGGTGCGAACCTGTAAAATCCCACCCCTGACTAGCAATGTATGGCTATAACTTCCAAAGTTTTTTTTTCTATTCAAAATTAAAACATGGCTGACATGGAGATAACATGTTTTTGGTTATAATGAGTTTTGTAATAATTTTACTGTAATGTAAAATTATTTGAGAAAATAACCTTGAAACAACATTTAGATACTAGAAATAAGTAAACTATAATTTCAAAATAATCTCATGATATTTCTTTTTAGCATTCACAAAACTATCTACAGTATGGAAGCTAGGCAATTTTGAATTAATAAGATTTTTTTTCTAGAGTATATGCTGTTGATATTAGTGATGCCAGGTGGAGGAAACTAATGGGACTGGTGACAGATATGCTAGCAGTATGTTGATAGAAAAAAGGATTGTGCTTTATATATTATGAGAATGTCAGGGATAGCAACCCCCTTCCCAAACAAACAGATTATAGAACAAATCAATCCAGAATTCTCACTTGGGACACAAACGATCAGGCTCTGTTATCATATTCTTGGCACATAAAGTGAAAAGTCTATAATGCTGAGAAAAATGAAATAAATAAAAAGTTTAATCAGTAGCAAGGTAGATAAATTTAACTACTGTATAGTGGTGCTGGTTGTATCATGGGGAAAATCTAAATAGCCAGGTTCAGAACATATCAACCTTGACAGTGGTGGGATTCAAATATTGTTGCCACTGGTTTGGTGGGCTTGGCTTGGTGGGAATGCTTTGTGCACATGTACACATTTTGCATGCATCCACATGCTAAATGCACACTTTGCACAGGTGCAGAGGCGTTCTAACTCGCCTCCTGCAAGCCTGCACGATCCTGATTGTTTCAGCAGCTGCTGCGCGGCACTATTCTGTGTCGCACAAAGCAGCTGCGCTTCAAATTCAGCAGATAAAAGTGAGTATGGGAGCCGGTGGGTGGGCCCAACAGCAGAGTGGCGGAGAGAACAGGTTCAGTCTCTGCTGCTCGTTGCTCCTACTAGCTCACCAGAAACGGGCCAAACTGGTTGAATACCACCACTGAACCTTGAGTATGTTTACCTATGTGATCACTAAGAATTGAATACTAACAGTGGAAGATTTTCATGCTCACAAATGGAATTCTGTAGCACTTTTGTCTGCTGAGCTCTGAGCTAGATCCTTTAGTAGAACTATGAGGAAGACTGGGTGATATTTTGGGAAGAGCTCTTTTAAACACCTGGATCCTGAACAGTGGTGTGCTTATAAATGTATACCAACTGGTTCAGCTGGCTTCATTGCACTACTGCCGAACTGCTGAACAGTGTGTTGGGTGTTACAATTCTGCTCTGCTTTCAATTATCTCACAAAATTCAGCAAATTAACCACAAGCTCTTGCACATCAGTACAGTATAACTAGGCTCCAGGACACCACACATTCTGGGCCAGTTAAGGTTTCATAAACTCACATCAGTTTCTTGAATTACCTTTAGTACTTCACACCTGTGTAGTTCTTTGAGAACAGCAATTAAATGCAGTTAAGAACTGCAATTAAATTAGCAAATGAACATGTGCTTTGCATCAGTTTTTGAACATGATTACTGGCAGTTCTAAGTAAAGAATACTGTAGTAATCCAATTGTGAAGTTTTTAGAATATATTTTACCAGTGGGAAATAGATGAAGAATAAACCGAAACTAGACAGAGTATTCCTTGTCCCTGAGCCCCCCTGTAATTTGACTGGAATTAGGAAGATTCTCAAACCATTCATTTGTCCTTTCAGGTAGAATGCTACATTATATATAATAAGCTGACTTCCTAATTACTAACCTGAGAATTATCTATATACAGAAACTCTGACATGCCTGAATTCAGCTTCAGTTTATTGGCCCTTGTATGGTTGGTTAACCTCTTCCATAGTAGAGATTCATTATGAGAATCTGGTGGGTAAATCTTTCCTTTTGGATAAAGGGCACCAGGTTGACTACCCAAGTAATAAATAAGAGGCTGTGATGACTTAGGGGTTAAAGATGCTAAGCTTGTCAGCTGGAAAGCTGACAGACTGGGCTCAAGATTTGAGCATCATGTGATCATGTGAGCTCCTGTTCAGCAGTGAGATCCTAGCTATTTCACAATTGGTTCAGTGATCATGAGTATATGCACCTAACGCATACGCAGCTTTCCACACACCAGCTGAGGCCTGCAGTGCCAATTAGCTAAGAGGAGAAAAAAGAGAAAAGGGCAGGGCTGGGTGGGAAGGCCTATCTTTTGCTTTTCTCTTCTTTCTCCTCTCAGCTGATCATGGGGGACTTTTTTTACTACCGGTTTGGCCAAACCGCTAGCAATTTTTACTACCAGTTCAGGTGAACCGGGCCAAACCAGTAGCATACCACCACTGCTCCTGTTCCTTGCTCCAGCTCCTCCCAACCTGGAAGTTTGAAAGCAAAGGTGAGGAGAGAAGTAGGTATCACTTTGGTTGGTATAGAATATCATTCTTTGTACCTTGGTGTGTAGTAATGCCAGTGTCATGACCATGGAATACTGTCTCTCTTAATTAGGAAATGGTGGTGAGCACTGCTCCCTAGCCATGACTGGAAAGGGGAACTGTTTCCTTTAATAAGTGATTGATTGATTGATTGATAAACATTGATTGATATGCCTTAAAAGTAAGGCATAAAAATGAAAAGTTTTCTTCAATTATACTAGCATGCCATTAAAAGAGAGGGAAATGTTTAGGAATTAATTGGAATGAGAGCAATAGGAAAGGAAAGGAAAGGAGAGGAGAGGAAAGGAAAGGAAATTGTATATCTTCCAATGAAAGTTTACAGAGCTTAGAGGGTGGCTTATTTGCCACATATATAGTGTATTTTGAGGTACTTGGATCTGGTGACTCTTATTTTATTTTCCAGTGCAGGAAATGATTACTAGAAATTTACTCACTTGGTAAAAAAAATATCGAGCCAAATTCTACAGAAATATTTTAGCTGTAAATGTAAATAAGGTCTAGACTCTAGTTCTATTATACCCTTTTTATTGATTTTAATACTGAGCTCCGATACAAGAATCAGAAATTCTTTACCATAGAATTTGATGTCTGTAAAATAAACAATTGTGACTTAATTATAGATTTGTAATTCATGGATAGCATTTGTTTTAGCTATATTTAATTCTTCCAGCTATGATATCATAAACACATGATACACATAGTGTTATCAATATTTTCTTTAAGAACGAACTTCCTATGCTTTGAAGATCAGAAGTGAAATGTATCACGGCATTTCACTCCATGTCTATGTGGTATAATGAGTCAAGTTTTAGTTTAGGACTGGAGAAACTTAAAGTTTAGGTCCAATTTCAGTCATGGAAGTTCGCTGAAAGACACATTGGTTTAAATAGGTTAGAAGCTAATGCAGCAAAACATTATTTAGAATAGTTTTCTCTCAATTGCCTCTTCTAGGCTGGCTGGAACTTTTAAAAGCCCACCCCTCTTAGTTAGAGACACTAGTTCTTTATATCATGTCTCCACTTGTAAATAAAAGATAGCATGTCCAGTTCTATCCATTACTGTATCTTTTTTTCTTATAAACATCAATGGGAGACATCCACTTGTATGGATATAGGTCAGTGGTGGGTAACCTTTTGGGGCTCCCATGCTGAAAAATATGCATGCACTCACACATGCTCACATTCACGTGCCAGCACCCAGAAGGCAATGCGTGTGGGGTCCCCCACATGTGTGCACAACCCCCCAGCACACCGTGTGTCTCTGCACATGCACGTGTGATTTCCCCACATGCCATGTGTCTCTGCGCATGCACATGAGATCCCCCATGCCCTGCACATCTCTGCACATGTGCATGCATCTCCCACACCCCCACATCCCCGACGCATACGCCCCAGATACCTGACAATCAGCTGTCAGGTGGGCAGCATGCATGCATGCACAGTAGTGCTCTTCTGGGCGACCTCTCACTGCTAGCATAAGTGGCTTTATGTGCCACTTCCGGCATGCATGCCATAGGTTCACCATTAAGGTATAGGTGAATACATTCTAATAAAGAACATCACTTAAAAAGGAATAAAATTGGTCCCTGTCTCAGGCAGAGAGTCTCAAATTCAATGGTGAAAAATGAATGAACTCTTCTCAACAGTTATAATGACTATATGACATAACATGACATAATATCCTTACGATATTGAATAAATGATTCAAGGAATACATAATACTTGGCATATAACCATTATTATAAAGTAACTTATTTTATGTAATAATGTGTTGAAACACATAGCATCATTTTGATGTCATTGTATCTTCTTTAAAAAGCTATTGTCAATTTCAGCAGAATCAGACCTGGTTAATACTTAGATAGGAGTCTATCAGAGAATGCCATAACTAAAGGCAAGATTGATTTTTGTTTTGTAATGAGTGAAAATTGAACCATGATGGCCCTGCATTCTGTTTTTTCCCCATTAGTAATGAACTTGTGAACCCTAATTTTAGTGAGAGAGTTAAAATGATTTACACGTTTTAGTTCAAATATCTATGTATTTAGTTTCAAAAAGGAAATTAAAAGGGCATGGTTATCCTTGGACACATATGTTTTATCTTTCTTGGCTACCAATTTCTTGCATTAATTCCTTAATTTAATCCCTTTTTGTAGCATGTTGGGGCCAGCTGTGACCTTCAAAGTACACCCAAATGATCTTGGTATCACCACTGCTGATGTTGTCAGAATAGCGGGTAAGAATCTTTATTTTTGAATGCAACTATTTCCCACCTATATTTTAAATTAGAAAGACAGACACAATTCTTCTCATCAGAAGATTGGTGTTTAATGAATAGGCTTTTGAAGAGGTAGTGGTAGCTGAAATAGAAAACCTTAAGTAGCATCTTTCATTCAGTTAGAAATGCCTGACACTTCTTTATTTATGAAATAATTGAATTAAGTGGAGGGGAATCTTTGATATAGTAGTGAAAGAGAACGCATAATGTTGTTTACGAAGCAAAAAAATATTTACTGTTTAATGAATATTTGATCCTGGTGATCTCCAAATTGTATAATTGCATAGCACAGAAGAATGGTTACAATTAGGTTTTTATGTCTGAAGTATAGAGGCCATAACCATGTTTTTGCTATAAAATTAACAATTCCCATAACCTACATATGGTAAGTACTACAAATTGACAACTAAATTTCTTTTTTGAAAAAAGGTACAGCAGAGCACTCTAGATTTGATTATAGACACTCTGGAATATGGTCTTGATTGTAAATTGTTTTCCTATCAGAATCCTGCTTGGAATTCTACTTGATTATATTGAGATAGTTTATGTTTTTTATTGACTTTTACTGCATAAATTAATTAGGAGTTCATTGTTGTCTCTTCTTTGAGTTTTACCTTATAAGGATTAGTATAACTATATTACATTAAACTATCAAGTGCTGATCTGGATGCTGTTTTCTTCTTGTATTTCTAAACTCCACTGTAATTTGTTTCTGTACATCTATAAAAGGGTAGTCAATGTTTTTAGTCTTTCTCTTTATATTTTTATAGTTCAGGCATCATCTATTTCTTGTGGCTGCCTCATATGCCTCCATAGTAGCCTCTTGGCCATAGAATGAAACTGCCTAAAATAATCAAAATCAGCAAGAACAAAACAATATTATAGCTTATAGAAATAATATTATTGGTATTGGATTTTGCCATTGCCAGTTTTTTTGCTGCAGTTCTTTCAAAATTCATTTGTTGAGTAATCATGTGTGATGGGCCTGTCTGTGATGGCCATTTCCATTCGAAAGTTTCAAGAAACAGAAGGAAGTATCTCAACGAACCTTTTCTTTTTAATAAAGTTTTATTTGGGTTTTCACACATACAAAATACAAGTAAAACATCTTTTTTGAAAATAGCATGGTCCCGGGTTGAACTTCTTTATACAGACACAAAACTCAATTTCATGCTCCCTCTTGTATTCTATTCCATATCTTATACTATTTTACATTTTCTATATAGTTTTTCCCCTCTTTTAATTTTCTCAATTTTATTTTGATTATCTCATATCAATTCAAATCATTATATTTCTACTTTTATCTGTTCTGTTTCAATTTCATATTATCTTTTCTCATTAAACAAATTTTCTCCTGTAGTTACTAATTGGAGTATGACACCTTTATATCTTTTAATTACATCCATTCAACTCTTATTTAAACTTCAGTATATACCTTAAGATTATGACCTTCAATATAATACATAATACATAACTTCCAATCAAATTCTGCTTGGTACATTCTTATAATACACACTATATTCTTTTCTTTAAAAAAGGATTGTAAATATATGTAATTATAAACCCTCATTCCATTCCAGTTCAGTTCTATCATTAATAATCATTAAAGTCTTAAACATCTTTAATACTTCTTTTCAATTAAATATCATACTTCCTTAAAAACACATATAATCTCCATAATTAATTTTTCCCTTATTTCTCTTCACATATGTTTTATAAATAATTAAATATACTTTTGTTACATTTATTTATTGACAAGCATTCCACTGAATTACGATAGCTATTTTATTAGACATTTTAATCATACATTGTTTCATATTTTCTAAAATTATTTCCGTTTCTAATATAACCATACTATCTTATGTACCTTTGCAGAATCCCTTTTTCCATTAAATTTTCACCCATTATCTCTAAATAGGCCCTGTTTCTCTATGTTTTGTTTCTGTCCTTTATAACTTCTTTTCCTTTCTTTCTTCCCTCTCATCTTCTCCCTCCCCTTTTTACCCCCTTGTCTCTCTACTTCTAATTCTCTCTTCCGCATTTCCCTCTTCTGTTGCTTTCTGATTTTATACTTATTTTTCACTCTACTTTTTTGTGGAGTTGTTTTTCCCAATCTTAAACTTTCCATTCTCTTTCCCCTCTTTCCTTTTCCCCCCCATCTAAGATTACTTGTTCATTAAACATGGCTTCTTCTTTGTCGCAATCTTCTTGATCTGCAGGCATTTCTTGTTGTTTTTCATAATTCCAAATCTCTATTTCTAAAAACTGAAATATGAAGCCAAAAGAACCTATCTCCCTTCTTGTGCATCTTTATACTTTTTAAGTTCCATTTTCAATTCTTCTAAAAGTGGAGCTATTTTAAACAGTTTTAAACAACCACCGGATTGATTTTAGACATTCAAAACAATAACCAAGAATCCAGAAATCATCAAGTAATCCAGATAGTCTCAAGTTATATCTTCTTATTTCTTTTTCGACTTTCTCTTCCTGGGGTTTTTGTTGTGATATTTCAGTTAGAATGTATCTTTTGGAAGTCTTGTTGAGATTTTGCTGTAAGTTCTTTTTTAATTCCAGGCAGTCTCCTCCCTTCCAGATCCTGCCCTTTTATTCTTTTTCTCTCCTTTCCTATTTTCAAAAGCTTTTAATTATCCAGAAATCTTTATTATCCCTTTGATTTTTTTATTTTCAGCATTAAATGCCTATTGATGTCAAAGTGGACTTTTTTCCAATTTCTTGCTTAAGTCTCTTAGCTGTCAATATAGGAAAAGGAGAAAAAAAAACCCAAATCTTTTCCTTTTTCTCTCTCCTTCGCAGCTTAAAAATCTTCTTAGGGAACAATGTTATTGTTTTTTAATAGTTTTAATTCCAGGGTACCTTATTTGTTGCTTTTACTGTTTGAACCGGTCAGCCAAAACTTTCTCTTCTTATCTTCCTCCTACACATTCTTTTCCGGTTGAGTTCTTCTTTGTGGTGGCCATTTCTGACCACCGCTGCAACCACCTTCAGGAAAGGGAGTAATGGCCAGCTGGGGAGAAGAGATGCGGCTCTCCTCAACCCTGCAGGCAGTCTCCCCCCTCTTCACCACCTCTATGGGGTAGCTTAGCCCTGAAACCAGCCAGCTCAGGGCACTCCAGCAGCGAGCACAGATCGAAGCCTCGCAGAGATGAGATTTCGGTCTGTCGCTGAAGAAGCTCAAACCGGACTGCCCAACGAACCTTGAGCATTAATATCAATGCTATTAATATCAATGTTAAATGATAGTCCAGCATAAATATCCTTTAGACAATATGAAAAAATGTTTTTCCAGATGCCATATTTTATATAGAATTATGAAACTTTGTGCATAGCCAATATACAACTTGTAAGGCAAACACATATATAGGAGGTACAATCCAACAATCCATGCAAGATCACAGCTACTCTTCTTAGCAGTAAAACAATTGTTACTACTATTTGGTACAAAAAGATTAAAATGAGATTTTTAAAAGTCTACTTTATGAGCTGTATTTAACAGGTATGCCTGTAGGGCATGATTAAGAAAATTAGTAAAGTTGCAGTATCTACAATTAATCAAGATCTATTCATTTTTATGTCTATCTCATAAAAAATGTGGAAATTCGGTTGTACTGCCTCAGCCATGATCATTATTTTTACTATTAGATTATTTTATTCACTTGTTTATATCTATATGTCAACTCAAGATAGCAAACATATCTAATACTCCTGCCTCCTGTTTTCCCATAAATAGGATTGAACTGAGAGGGAGTGAGTAGTCCAAGCAGAGGTAGTATTCAGCAGGTTCTGACCAGTTCTGGAAAACCGGTAGAGGAAATTTTGAGTAGTTCAGAGAACCAGCAAATACCACCTCTGACTAGCCCCACCCCCATCTATTCTCTGCCTCCCGAGTCCGAGCTGATTGGCTGGATCTTCTTTGGTTGCTCTGCACAGGAGAACGGAACTGGAAATCAGGTCAGTGGGGTGGGGAAGGAATGGAGATTTTGCACTATCCTTCCCTTGCCATGCCCACCAAGCCATGCCCACAGAACCAGTAGTAAAAAATTTTCAATCCTACCACTGGTCCAAAGCCAATCATCAAGCTGGCTTTCATGTCCAAGGTGGGACTAGAACTTAAAGTCCCCTAGTTTTTATGTCAGCCTCTTCACCACTATATCATACTGACTCTGTTGACTATTTGACCATATTTTATAGACATTCGTAGGTTACATGTAAAATTTGTGCAAATCTCTTGAAAAACAATTGAAATATGAACAGTGGACAGCAAGGTTCATGGGTATATTTCTTGCTTGAAAAGAGAATTGTGTTGAAAACATTGCAAGCAAATAATCTAGTAGATTTTCATATTGTACCTGATTGCTAGTAGATAGCCATGTATAAGTTCTGACAATTTAACAAATCCATCAAGGCCATTTTTGTACATGTATGATAGTTATTACTTTTCTATGAAGATGATTAGCAACAGCACTTATAGAGGAAAAGCTAAGAAAATATTTTTATTCTTGCCAACATAAAAAAGTCTAAATTCTATAAATATGGAATTTGCTTGTGTTATGATGCACAAAACTTTCCATAAAAATAGAGTATGATAATAAGAAAAAAATGCACTAAAACCAGGGGTGGGATTCAATTTTTTTAACAACCGGTTCTGTGGGTGTGGCTTAGGTGGTAGACATGGCTTGGTGGTCATGTTATTGGCCACCAAGCCATTGGTCATGTTATTGGCCACCAAGCCTGGCCACCCGAGGCACTCACATTGAGGCATGCATCTCCTCGCCTGCCCTCTCAAGACTGTGGGGATGCTGCAATAGTCGTAAGTGTGAAAAATGGTCATAAGTCACTTTTTACAGTGCCATTGTAACTTTGAATGGTCACTCCATACAGGTAAAGTGCCAGCAAAGGTGGGGAAAAAACTCCAGAGAAGTTCCAGAGACAGGAAGTTT